TGGAGACTGGGCTCCCAATTCCCAATAAATCCTTCTGCCTCTGGGAAATGGAGACTGGGCTCCCAATTCCCTGCAATTCATTCTGCTGCTGGGGGACAGGAGCAATTATCTCTGTCCCCTGTAACTCAGCCTGCCGCTGGGGAATGGAGCTCGGGCTCCCACTTCCCTGCAATTTACACTGCCGCTGGGGATCTGAGCCTACTGCCCAGCATCCCTGTAGTTCACCCTGCCACTGGCGAGGGAGGACGCTGCTCTCCTCTCCCTGCAAGGAACACTGCCGCTGGGGGACAGGACCACCTGTCTCTGCCCCCTGTAACTCAGCCTGCCGCTGGAGAATGGAGCTCGGGCTCCCAATTCCCTGCAATATCTCCCGCTGGGGAATGGAGACTGGGCTCCCAATTCCCTGCAATATCGGTGGAGAGACCTCGGTCCCATCTCCACCCGCCACCTGTGGTTCTTCCCAGTAAATCTCAACAATGTCTTCCCAGGTGAATGGGTCTGGAACTGGATCTGTCACCTTGCTGTCCTGCTGAGCCTTATAAATGGAGTGGAAGTGATCTCGGTAGTCCTGCTCCAGTTCCCACTCCAGGGTTGCTAGGTGAGCCAGGTCTTGCTCAATTTCGTGAGTGTCGTCCCAGTCATACCTGCTCTCCCTCCACTCCAAGAGATCACTGAACCGGGCTTGTGTAGGGCTCCCAAACTCAGGCTCTGCAAAAGCCTCCCATAACAAGCCAGGACCATCAAACTCCTCTCCCTCTGGCGTGTCTTGCTCGGCTGTCCAGGGCAGGTGCCCCATACCATCAGAGTGCCTGGTAGGCATCTTCCAGCCAAATCTCCTGCCATACTCAGAGCTCCAGTTGCTTCACCCATTCCTCCAGGGGCTGCTCTCCCAGAAAGGGCATCCACAGGGCTACTTGGTTCTGCAACCGCTGCTCTTCACTGGGGAGACTCTCACCCCGCTGGTATTGTACATTATCCAGGGCCTTGCACCAGATGCCTTTCCTTAATGCATCCCGGCCATCCAGGTCCTCCTCCTCGTATAACACTGCTAGTTCCATTCTGTTGCTTTTAGGGTCACTGTACTGGGACATGCGTTGCCCTCAAATTGTAAAAATCCACGGAATGGTGTTGCCTGTAGCTGTCCTGTTGTCTGTGGGAACGATCCCACCGCTGCCACCAATTGTAAAGACACCCTCAGCATAAAAGGGTTAAACCACCGTTTAGTAGATCTTCCCTTCCAGAGACACAGGCACAGCTACTGCAGAACACCAATCCGCCGAACAGGAAACCTTATGAATGCTGTAAACAGCCGAATAGGAAGAACCACATGAATAGGTTTACACTCCTAGCAGTCAAACTGGAACAGCATACAATAAATCCCCCAAGAACGAGACAAAGCTCCGTGTTGAGGGTCAAGCAGTGAACAGTTTAATAAGGGCTACCTGCCCAGTATTTATGCAGGTCTCCCACCTGGTGGACACTCCCCTAGGGGACCAAATGGGAGACTGTGACAAGGGACAGACAAGTAGACAAATAGGACACACAGTCACATTTTATTCCCACAATGCATCCTGGCTTCCTCCCCTCTTCCTTGGAGATAATTGAGAAGTAATTCAATTATCTCCCAAGACAAAGGCAAATCGCCATTATGCACGTGGGGATACTAACACACGAATTACTATTAAAATACACTATGTGATACACAAAATTAAAAGCATACATTTCCCCAGATAGCTCAAGTCTGAGCGCACATTATTAAGCGAATGGCGCTCAGACCACACGAATACAGTTTAATCGCCATGGAGCTAAAGTCTTTACACAGTCAGTTTCATGCGAATGGGCTCCATGGGATTCCTATCTGGGGTATAACATATTCCAGTAAAACTACCGAACGCCGGGCCGTTCGTGCACTTTCACCGACCAAGAAGGGAGGTCGGCGGCTTCAGCGGTGTTCGCGCAAAACTGTGTCCGATTTCAGTTCCATAAATTAAGCGTCTAACACCGCTGTGCAATCGCATGTTTAAAATGGCTCGACCTCGTGTTCGTGATTGTCAATTAAGCTGTGGTTAACCGCAGCTTCAGGGAGGCTAATTGCCGGCACACTCCAGCTCCCAGGTGGTCCAGTCATTCGTGCGGTTGTTCGGTAGATTGAATCCACCGAACACCAGGCAGAAAAGCACAAATAAGTCTTTTCTGCAGGTGAAACAAAGTCTTTTAACATGGGGCCATAGTCCAAAGGCAGCAGGCGAGCAACCAGGCTTCTCCAATGCAATGTGGCGAGACTGGTCTCATCACAGACCACAGTAGGCATCATGGACAATCTACCTGCCGAAATCGTGTTCGGAAACGACATTGGCCCTCTGGCTTCGGCTTATTTACCTACGCTTGCTGCTGCTTGTCCCATGACCAGCTGCTCACAAACCCGTATTGAAGATGACCCTCCAACAGGCCGGGAGACCCTTAGCTCCAATACGGCAGGGAGACCCATAGCTTGGGACACCCCAGAGGAGTTTGGGAGGGAAACTAGAGAGGACCTCACCCTCCAAAAGTACAGAGAGTTAGCAGACAGTAGAGGGGATGAGCGGGAGCGTTTTATATGGGATGGTGACAGGTTGTATAGATTGACCGAAGGTAGAAAGAGAGGCTGTGTCCCTTCGCAGAAGCGCCAACTAGTGGTACCCAGAAAGTACCAGTTGGAACTTCTCTGAATCGGACACGACATCCCGTTGGCAGGACATCTAGGGGGTAACCGCACCACCTACAGGATCACGCAGACATTCTTCTGGCCTGGGATCTCGAAGGACGTGCGACGTTACTGCAACACCTGTGACATATGCCAACGAGTAGGGAAGAGAGGGGATCACCCTAAAGCTCGACTGTCCCCTATGCCAGTGATCGAGGAACCGTTTAGCCGGGTGGCAGTCGACCTACTGGGACCCCTTCCCAACCCCAGTCCCTCGGGTAAGAAATATATTCTTACAGAAGTGGACTATGCTACACGCTACCCGGATGCCGTCGCTCTGATGAATATCCAGGCTGACACTGTCACCAGTGCTCTAGTCGGGTTATTCACCAGAGTGGGATTTCCTCAGGAAATCCTATCCGACTGAGGGACCCAGTTTACCGCAGACCTAATCCAACAGTTATGGAAGGTCTGCGGTGCTAAGACCCTGCTTAGTTCACTGTACCACACACAGACTAACTGTCTCTGTGAACGCTTTAATGGTACCCTAAAGCAAATGCTGCGGACCTTTACGGTGGAATACAGAGACTGGGAGCGATTCTTGCCGCACCTCTTGTTTGCATATCGAGAGGTACCGCAGGAATCCACAGGGTTCTCTCCATTCGAGCTGCTCTATGGACGGAGAGTGCGGGCCCCCTCGACCTCATCCAAGAGCACTGGGAGGGAGAGAGAGCATGAGGGTGTTCCCATTGTACCATATGTGCTGGAGATGTGGGACCGCATGGGGCACTTAGCCAGGATGGCCCGAGAACACCTCCAGGCGTCCCAGGGCTGTCAGAAACATTGGTACGATATGGGCGCCCATCAGAGAACGTTTCAAGTGGGCCAGAAGGTTCTGGTGCTTAGACCTGTCAAAGGAAATAAGCTCCAGACCTCCTGGCAGGGCCCTTACAAAGTAGTAGCACAGGTCTGCGATACTACATATGTAATTGCCAGCAGCAAAGACGAGAGGATCCAGAAATCCTTTCATGTAAACCTATTAAAGGAGTATCAGGAAAGACCAGAGAATGTGGCGGCCATATGTATCCCGGCCACTGAAGACCCTGACAGCCTACCTATTCCAGATCTGTTAGCCGACCCAGAGCCTAAAACTCTGCTCAATACAGTACAGCTAGGGGAGCGGTTAACTCCCGCAGAAAAGGGGCAGATCCGACAATTACTAACTGAGAAAGGGTGGACGTTTTCCCAGGAGCCAGGATACACTCCCTTAGCGACTCACTACGTAGAGACCACAGGACAAAACCCTCTCAGACAGACTCCCTACAGAATCCCTGAAGCAGTAAGAGAGGAGATAAGGAAGGAGATCCAAGAGATGTTAAGAATGGGAGTTATAGAGCCGTCCGACAACACCTGGGCCTCGCCCGTTGTCCTAGTCCCCAAAAAGGACGTAACGACCCGGTTCTGTGTCGATTACCAACGCCTCAATGACAGAACCGTGACAGATGCATATCCCATGCCCCGGGTGGACAAACTATTAGATCATATTGCCAGGGGACGCTATCTGACCACCATCGATCTGTGCAAAGGATATTGGCAGATTCCCCTGGCCAAGGAAGCTATCCCTAAGTCGGCGTTTGTCACCCCGTTTGGCTTATACCAGTTCAAGGTCATGCCATTCGGGATGAAAAACGCCCCAGCTACATTCCAGTGCTTAGTGGATCGTCTCCTTGATGGCTTCCAGGACTTCGTTTGCGCGTACCTGGATGACATTGCGATCTATAGTGAGACTTGGGGGGAACACCTGAGACATGTAGAGGCTGTACTGGATCAGATTAGGGTCGCAGGCCTAACCCTGAAACCAGAGAAATGTAATTTCGGGATGGCCGAAGTCCAGTACTTGGGACACAGGGTGGGGTGTGGGAAACAACAACCAGAACCCGCTAAGGTTGAGGCTGTAGCCAATTGGCCCACACCCCACACTAAGACCCAGGTATTGGCATTCTTAGGGACAGCAGGATATTACAGGAAATTTGTCCCTGACTATAGTACCATCGCTAAACCTCTGACAGATTTGACAAAGAATTTGCCTAGGGTAGTCCTGTGGTCTCCCACTTGCGAAACAGCATTCCAAACCTTGAAACAAGCATTGATCAACGCACCTGTTTTGTCTGCCCCGGTCCCTAACAAAAGATTTGTCGTCCATACAGATGCGTCCATGTACGGACTGGGGGCAGTTCTAAGCCAGGTCGGGGACGATGGAGGGGAACACCCTGTCGCGTACCTGAGTAGAAAGTTATTACCCAGAGAAGTGAGCTATGCGGCAGTGGAAAAGGAGTGTTTAGCCCTGGTCTGGGCTCTAAAGAAACTCACACCCTACCTGTATGGTCAGGAATTCACCCTGATCACGGACCATAACCCCCTAGTATGGCTGAACCGAGTAGCTGGAGATAATGGACGCTTGCTGAGATGGAGCTTGGCCCTGCAACCCTACAATTTCTCCATCCAATACCGCCCTGGCAGGTTCAATGGGAATGCAGACGGACTGTCCAGGCAAACAGAACTTTTACCCTAACAGCAGAGCGGACAGCCCCAAGTTGACCCGAAAAGGATCAATCCGGGTCAGCCAGAGTGTTCCACAAAAGGGGAGCAGTGTGATGGAACTATGATTACTGCCTGGACACCTTTAATAATAATACAGATGGATATACAAAGTACCGAATTGCTTGTTGCATGTGAATCATTATTACCCAAGAATGAATCCAAACTACCGAACACCGGACCACCCTGGTGTGCAATTAAGTGATACTTTACCTCCCAGCTCTATTTCAGCCATTCGCATGGTTCAGCATGAATTCTTTGTGCTAAGCATAGGTGGCCGCCATTTCGGGACTTTACACGTGTTCGTGGCCATCTTACACACGAACAGTGGTGTTTGCCAGCAATCGCCTGGAACTAAAAACGGATATGCAAACAGGCGAACACCGCTGAGATTCATGCTGAAACTACCGAACGACCGGCCGTTCGGTAGAAAGACTAAACCTTACATGGGGATGCCTTCGAACACCGAGATAGCTGTGGATGGCAAGGGTTTCGTGGGGTTTTAATGCACGAACGGAGACCGACCGTGAGGCCAAAACTTGTGGAACTATATTCGGCTAGAAAGTCTGTGCGGTCGGTCAAAACTTCAAAGATCCATAACTCCCGAACCCTTTAACCGAATGAGCTGGATTTTGGATATGTTGTTCCCCTGAACCAGAGCTATCTGGTGATACTGGATTTAAAGATGTACCCCCTGTTTTTGGGGTATATCCAGAACTTGGGTAAAATTGTGTGTGTGTTAATTATGTTAAATGTTTATCTGAGGGGAGGAGACGTGGGGTTTGTACCATGTATGTGATTGGTTAATGTGTTAATTATGTAGGTATAGCCCTTTCCAGGGCAGCATGGCATAAAAGGAGACCCCTGTCAATAAACATTAGTTCTACTGACCCTTCAAAACGTAGCCTCGTCTCGTTCTTGGAAGGGGATTTATTGTACAGTTACTCTGCTCCATTTTACAGTGATGCCTGACTCTACCCTTGGATATCGTGGATGGGAATAAGAACTCTATTACTACACAGCAACTTGCCAGGAAAAGGACGTCTCCAACGGCAGATACCCCTTACCACTTGGGTAGCTGTTACAGCAGATATTGCAGAATGTTACTGGGAAGAACCCCAGGTGGCTGGTGGAGATGGGACCGAGGTCTCTCCACCGGTCCTGCAGGGAATTGGGAGACCAGTCTCCATTCCCCATGCGGGAGATATTGCAGGGAATTGGGAGCCCAAGCTCCATTCCCCAGCGGCAGGCTGAGTTACAGGGGACAGAGATAGTTGCTTCTGTCCCCCAGCAGCAGAGTGAATTGCAGGGAATTGGGAGCCGAAGCTCCATTCCCCAGTGGCAGGCTGAGTTACAGGGGACAGAGATAGTTGGTCCCGTCCCCCAGCGGCAGTGTACCTTACAGGGAGAGGAGAGCAGCGTCCTCCCTCCCCAGTGGCAGGGTGAGCTACAGGGATGCTGGGCAGTCGGCTCAGATCCCCAGCGGCAGTGTGAATCACAGGGAATTGGGAGCCCAGTCTCCATTCCCCAGCGGCAGTATGAGTTATTGGGAATTGGGAGCCCAGTCTCCATTCCCCAGCGGGATATACAGCAGGGAATTGGGAGCCCAGTCTCCATTCCCCAGCGGAAGAGTGTCCTACAGGGAATAGAGAGCCCAGTCTCCTTTCCCCAGCAGCAGGACTCTGTATTGGGAGCAGAGACAGTTGGTCTCCCTTCCCTGCGGCTGGAAGTATGTATGGGAGAGGAGCTTGTTACCCCCTCTCCCCAGCAGCAGCTTAACGTACCAGGGGGAGACAGTAAGCCCCACAACCGTGCAGATGGGACCGTGGTCTCTGCATTTACAGCACAGGGGGTAGGGACGGTCGGTCCTTCCCCCCAGCGACAGGGCTGTTAAGCCAAAGGGAAGACAGTCGGTCTCCCCCTCCGGCAGCAGAGCTGTGTATCTAAAGGGGAGCCACCAGGCTCCAACCAGACTACTCCCATGGTAGTCCTGGCACCAGGGCAGAGTACCGCTGGTCTCTGCCCACTCAGCAACCCACCAAGTCAGCTTACCAGTCACCCACACAGCCAGGGTGAGGCACCTGGACATGGACAAAGTTCTCCTCTACCCAGGTGTAGTAACCAGTTATTGTGGGTGGGCTGTATTACTGATTGTGTGTTGTGTGTGGGCTGCTGGACTAACAAGGGCACTGACCGGCAGGAAGTCAGATACCCTGTTAGTCTGTTTGGAAAAGGGGAGATATGTGACAAGACCAATCTCGCCACCGTGCATTGGAAGAGCCTGGTTGCCTGCCTGCTGCCTTTTGACTATGGACCGGCATTTAAATACTTTATTTTCCAATGCATAAAGGTCTATTTCTGTATTTCTGCCCTGGCGTTCGGTAGATTCTCGGATTTACTGAATGAACTCATTTAACCCAGATAGCTATGCCATGGAGCCTATTTGTGTAATAAAAGACTTTGGCTCCATGGCGATTGAACTGTATGTGTGTGGTCGGAGCGCCATTCAGTAATAATGTGCGCTCAGACCTAAGCTATCTGGGGATATGTTGCATGTCTGTATTTTATGTAATAAATTTAACCTTGTGTATTTTATTGTATTTTACTGTCTTTTTACTGCCATGTGCTTAATGGAGTTTTGCCTCTGTCCTGGAGATAATTGGATTACTTCCCAATTATCTCCAGGATAGAAGACTCTGTGGAACTGGTTTTGGGCAGAAAAGCCATTCTTCCTTTGGTCACAAAGGACTATAATCTATCTTTTGAACCACTGGACTAATTTGTATTATTTTGACATGGGTGGTACTAATGTGTATATAAGAACAATAAACCCACAGCTCTGTCTGTTCACTGCTTGACCCTCAACACGGAGCTTTGTCTCGTTCTTGGGCGATTTATTGTATGCTATTCCAGTTCGACTGCTAGGAGTGTAAACCTATTCGTATTGTTTTTCCTATTCGGCTGTTTACGGCATTCGTATAGTTTCCTGTTCGGCGGATTGGTGTTCTGCAGTAGCTGTGCCTGTGCATCTGAAAAGGGGAATATCACCTAAACGGTTTTTAACCTCTTGGGTGCTAAACGGTCCGTTACACTTTGTAAATGTGAAATTCTTCCAATAACAATATCCTCTGATACCAGGGACATACTCCAAAAAAAAACCACCAGTTCGTGTGGGAAGCCAAAGCCATCAAATACCTTGGGGTACACATACCCAATGACATGACACAGATACATGACAGCAACTTCCTGCGCTTACTCCAGACCATAACCTTAGACTTCACATCTTGGAATATGCCTCACTTCGGATGGTTCTGCATATTGAACATCCTGAAGATGAATGTCCTACCCCTCATTTTATTCTTGTTACAGGTCCTGTCCATTTAACTACCCAAAACACTATTCACTTCTGTCCACAGAGCATTACGTCTTTCATATGGGCCAACAAAAGACCTCGACTATCCTATTCTTTGCTCACATTCCAAAAGAGGAGGGGGGACTGGGTCTCCCAGATGTAGAAACCTACCACAGAGCAGTTCTACTAACTAGTTCTACTAACTGGAGTGTCTTTCCCACACTCCACCAAACAGTGGGTACAGCTAGTAAATACGTTCTTCAGAGCCCCGATCTATACAATCCCATGGCAAAAAACTGGACACGCCCTACTACTTCACCATGCACATCCCACCATAACCCCCACACTTTGCATGTTGGCTCATGTGAGGAATCACCAGCAAATATCTCCAGACCCTTCACTTTTATACCTGATCACACAAAACCCTTTATTTAAACCTGGAGAAGACGGCAAACCGTACAGAATGTACCACAACTCCACTTACTTGACGCTAGGAACTATGATGGACGATTCAGGGGTAAAACCGTTCCACAATATAATTTCAGCAGATTCACCATCAGGATTACAACAATTCCAATATCACCAACTCCTACACTTTGTTAAAACAGGACCACTAGCCCAAAGCACCCACCAAGACCAAACAATCTTTGAGCAACATTGTGTAAA